GAATTACCTCTGAAATAGAATGCCTCCTTTTAAAACCTAGGTATGCAAATTCCACTAAAATACAGACTGAAGCTTTAAAGCCGTCTAACACCCAGAAAATCAAGTTTTGATTTGATTTTCAAATTCCAGTTAAAATCTAAAATATAATGCTGCTTTCATGAGCGGAAAACAGGTCTTTCATATCTGGTAGAAGTACACCCTATTTCTATTACTGGCACATGTCTGGGGCCGGTGTTATTTCCCAACAGCACAAGCCAGATCGCATTGGCTGGACCATCATGCCTGGCTCACCGGTGCAGCTCCACACGCAGGGAAATAGGTAGGAAGTGGCTGGTAAGGAACCTGCCACAATGCAAAGTAAAAATATCAGCACTACTAATAATAAGAAAAGCCCTAAACAACCTAAACCAGGAGAAATTGAGATTTTGTTAGCTCCTCACTCTAAATCCGCACGGGTGGTTCACACGCCCCCACCCAGGCACGTCGGTTCAAGCCCTACTTGAACACAAGCTCCAAGGTTACTGAGCTGCACATGCCCGCATTGCCACCAGAGACAGTGAGAGGTGCCCGACAGAAAGCAAAGCAGGGGTTAACTAGTATAGCTGACAGGTAAAATCCCAAATAAACTGTCGTCTTGTACAGAAATGCATGGATAGGGTACATACATAAGGAAGCTAAAGCATCTGGCACGTGAATGGATGCTCCGACCCACCCTTTGGAAAGATGTACCATGTCAATGTGCTACCTTCAGATACAGAAATTCATGCCAAGCATGCAGTATGCTTCTCCTTGGAGTGATGTCCCAGATAATGCCATTTTCATCTTTCTTCTATTTGACCAATTATAAAAAAAATGAAAAAAAATATTATTGCTGTTTCACTTTATGTTGCTTGTTAGCTTGTGAACCAGAGACTGTGTAATTTCGACACCAAATTCCGTAGTTTGGTTTTGATGTCAACGACAAACGTACGCCTCAGTTTCAGAGATTTGAGAAAATATGACAGCGCCTCGGCTGGAATACAAGACTTACCTTTCAACAACTTCTCATCAGTTACCATATGACTCACAGAGCATTGCTGGAAATCAAGATTCTCTCTTAAATGTCTCTCTGAAATAAGGATCTAGAAACAAGCTATGGAAATGGCAGCTCCAGACAAAGGCCATTAGAAGCTGTGCTCTCCAGGGAACCCCTGGAGAAAGAGGAAACCCCAAACATCTGCATGTTCTGGGATATTGCTATGAGCAACATGAAATCACTCCATTTCCTAATTCTATAGAAATAATCATGAGTAAGTTTCTGGAACTTCTGAATCAGGCTAACAAGTGCTGCAAGCAGAGTAGTCTTTCCCTGCTGCAAATTTACTGTCCTTTGCGATACAGGAGGTTGGTGGAGATCCATCAGTCCACCACACCATGCAAATACAAGGGATGAAGAGATGAACAAAGACAGACCACGTGAATACTGCAGGCAGAGAGGCTGTTAGGGCATCCCATGCCCTAATGTCGGTTTTCAAACCGGAGAGGTCAAGCTCTGCTTGGAAAGATCCCAAACTGCCAGCTACGAGAAATCTGTCCCATGTCTCTCCTTCTGTCCCTCAGCATGGTGACCAACCCATGGCAGAAGCAGGATGTTGAGCCAGAGAGCCGCTGGTCTCACATGAAGCAACTAGGCTTACGTTCAGCAGCTGGACCTTCCTTGGAGAGGATCTCTGTGCTGCGCATATAGGTCTCAGAAATCCCACGCAGCAGTGACTGGGCTGGCAGAAGGGCACTGAAGACATCCCTGCACCATATAGTGTGGATGAGATGGACCCATGTATATGCATGTAGGTAAATGGAGAGCCTTAAAGTTTAAAAATAAAATTAACCTGAACAGGACCACAAACAAAAATACTCCTATAAACTCAAACCAACCTTCTATCTCCTTTCCTCACAGGAACGAGCCCTATAGCACTTAGTGCTGCTTTGCAGGATTAAAACACCACTGGCAAGGTAACAGATCTCTCCCATGGTAGGGAAGGAGGCTGAAGACATTCGTGTCAGCCAGCAATACATATTCAAAACAGCCATAGTGCAAATAGACCCTGACGATTGCATGGGGAGCGGTTGAAGCGACAGAAACCATCGGGTATTCTCAAGGCTACTCAGCTCTCATTGCCTTTAATAGCAGGCTGACTTTCTGAAGCAGTTAAATGCTATTTCACTAGTTGTTTTAAAAATACATTTTCACAGAAACACAGCAACCAACGAGAACAGATAATGCTAGAGCGAGAAATCACTTGTAAATAAACTATGGTGACAGACTTCATTTTCTGTGCAATATTGCAACAGCTCTCTGCAAGCAACACACAGATGAAGCCTCCAGCCCTCTCTCCTGCTCTCCCTCCCCAGTAGCTGCCACACAGTCCGTGTTTCAGAGAATACAACTGAAGTGAGCTTCAGCTGAAGCTGCAAAGACAAATGAAATGAAATGCTTTGGGAAAGCTCTCTCCAAGCCTGGTGGTGCTTTCAGTAGAGCCAGGGAGATGGGCAGGAGGCCTCTCATCAGACTTGCTGGACACCACCCTCCCAAGCAGCACAATAACACGAAGCCCTTCAGGTTTCTTATGTTCAGAAGTTATCACTGATCAGTTTTGAGTTCAATAAGCCAGACCAGACCACGATTGATTTCTCCCCATCACTTCTGAGCACAGCAGAGGAGAGCCTCTCCCTCCTGCCTCCCACCCCTAGACCCGATCTCACACTCCCCTTCTGATTATCCTGCTTTAGGGCTCAATACACCACCCTCCTTTCTCAATATTTAGCAGCTTTTAGCTATTTGATGTAATCTACAGCTCGCTTGTCCAGATACTTTCTTAATGTTTGGGTTATTTAAATAACAGTGAGAAACCCAACATTGAACTGTCAGGTTTAAGATCTACTTTCCTCATTCTCTTTTACTAATTTCCCAGCGAAAAAAAAAATCAGAAACTACTGGATTCCTGCAAGGTACTGTTTACTAGTAGGAGAGTAAACCAGCACGGTATAACAGGGAATTTTTTATCTAGCCACAGGGTAAAGTTTGTTTTGGAGTTCTATTCTTTATAAAAGCAAATACTTTAAAAATGAAACCAAAATTCTCACTCTGGGGAATCACTGTTTGACAGTAGCTCCAGAGACATTCCTCCATCTTCAATCACCATTCAAACTCCCCAAATACCTAAACATCAGCCTAAAAGTCCTGGAACACTTTTTTTCTTGTCTATTTTTCCATTAGCTCCTGCCTTGCCTACCCTTCTCATTGTTGCTCAAAACACACACCACCCAATTCTGTCTCCTCTTTAGTCTGATTCTCCAGTAACTGCAAACACATTTAAAAGCCCAAGAACAAGAGAAAACCCATGCTTCCCTGCACAGCCCTCCAAACCAAGGCTGTGTGCTACTCTAACACAAGGCGGTCCCTTTTCTTTTATCCTCACAGAGTAATTCAACCAAAGCAAGAACAATTTCTCTTGCTGCTGCCTGTGGAAGCACATGAAATTAATTTTGCACCCTGCATACTTGATTAAGGGGTTGTTCACCACCAGCACAGCCATAAAGCCAAGGGCATGAGCGTTTTCTAAACCACATTCTGCAGTGCAGTACTATACGTTTGAGAGTTCACTGTCATCTGTGGAGACTCAGATGAAAAGCCCTCGTTACACAAGTGAAAATACCTTAGATCATTTTGGCACAGGGTAGCCTAAGAAAGGAACAGCAAAAGTCTTAAGTGTCAGCTCTGAGACTCAGTCAAACAAAAAAGTAGATTAAAATCATAAAACAAATTCCCTGCTTTTATCTCTCAGTATTTGTTTTCACAACATGAAGGTCACACACACATCTTACCCCACCATGCCCATTTGACAACAAACAAGACCTTCTCTCTGGTAACAGATCCTCCATAAATGAAGAGCTGTCTCTTTCATTTGTCATGTTATAGTATGCAAGAACAGAGGGGAAAAAAAATAAACGACCTGTTGCTTTTATAAAGCATCAGTGAATTACCCAGCCGACTCGCTGAACAGCACAGAGCAGGTAGCAATGGGGGTCTACAGTAAACTGGGAAGTGTCCAGTTTTTAATTCCTGTAATCAGATCATCATGAAACAGACACAAGATTAGATGACCAAATTTTATTCTCCTCTTTTTTTTAAGTCTGAAAATAAAACACCTCCAGTTCATTTGGACAGTGGCACATTTTCTAACGGGGCTGAAAAATAACTGGAATTTCTATTGACTTCTGCTTGTGAAGCAGCACCTTCCAAGTGGCTATAGAAGCTCTGCAAATGAGGTTTTGAGCTTGTTTTCCCCATGAAGAAAGTCTAGAAATGCTGTTTGACATTACCAATGGCTTCAGTTTCACTGTTTGTTGCCAACAAAGCAAACTTTTAAGTGCCAGCAGTTCAAGGGCAGAAGATTTTGCTGGAACAGCTTAACAGATCACAGATATATTGGAAATGCAAGTCAAATGCAGCAGGGTGAAAAGATAGAAAGTATGTAATAACACTTGTGGAAATGTAAACACCTTAACTTCTCTCCTCACTGGACTACATCATGCACAAGCCTGAGCTTACCCAAGTGAAAATACAGCTGGAGAAGAAAGTTTGAACAGTCATAGTAACCTATGAAGAGCTGGGAAGTAATATTAATCCTAACACAATAATATCATATGAACACAACTCATCTCCAGTTACAGTTTTGAACAGCAGGTCAAATGACTCATTAAAAAAAATTGCCACTTTTTAAAATGAGAAATAAATCTTCAGAAGTCATTGATCTGCTTATCTTTCTGAACCATTCGAAGCTAAGTCTAAACCAGATGAAGCAAGAGTAATTATTCACTCAGCTCGAGCTTCAAGCAATGAAGAACTCCTTTTAGGCACATGTACGTTGACAATAGCAAACTCATTGTTTGTAAACCTTCAAAACTTAAAAAAAGCAGCAATTGCAGAGAAAAAAACCCAACAAAACCACTGTACTTACTGGAAAGGACTGTCGTGAGGAAGATGTAGTCAGAAAAAGAAATGAGTCCACATTCTCCAAGTGCATAAAATATGCTGTCCTCATCAGCAAACTTCTCTCGCTCCTGGGATAATTTCTACTTATTCATCCGATCCACACCCCAAAAAGAGAAAATAAAACAATTGATTAAACAGAGAAATGGAAAGCTTTATCTGTGTTCTTACCACCAACAAGCCATTCCACGTACACACATCCCTACTATCTCCATTCACATTCAGTGGACCTTTTCCAGCCTTCAAATCTGTCAGAAATGCTCTGCAAAGATCAGCGCTTCCCCATCTCAAATGAGGGATTGCACATTATTAAATGGTTTAGCCTAGCTGAAATACAGATAAATAAAACTGTATCAATTTTGCTTAAAATTGTCTGAGTCTTTAAGAGATGAGTGTTATGAGAGTCAGGTTTTTTAATAAAGGATTCAAAAAGGAAATTACTGTATTTCACTAATAGTCTTTCAGTTTTACTTTGTTGTAGCAGCAACCAAGAAAGAACTATTTCACAAGACTATAAAGGCCGATCAAAGTTATCAAAAATGTGTAGTTATCAGAAGCACACGATTCGGGAGTGTGTTTAGCAAGCTCACTAGGATGACCAGGACCCACATCATTCTCAGTCTCTCTCTCTTTTACTCCAGATCTTTTTCAACATCTTGTTTTAATAGAAAATACCACGTTTTGTCAGCTCGTATCCTTTACTAAGCTCAAATCTGAGTCCCTTTGATCTGCAGAACCTTCAAAGACTGAAAAGGATCCACAAAACTGTTAGGAAATCCACACTGGCAACCCACTTTGAGAACACAGCAAGAGGCGGCACACGCGCACACACACACACACAAAGGAAAATGAAATTAATATAAAGGAGAGTAGCCATGGATGAGGTTATTCCACAGAAACCAGGTCATGCAAGCACAGAAGCATGGTGAAAGCAAGGCTGAATTTAGGAACAGTTTTAGGAAAAACCACTGACAAAACACCACCACACGAGGGTCCAGCTACACAACTGTCCCCCACCGTTACCTCTGTCTAGCGGAGATCCCATCATATACAATATAAAGGAAAGAAAACCGGTTAACCAACAATAAAATAAGCAGGCAAAATATAACATCAAGTTGAACGGTTAGACTTGCAAAGAGCAAGAAGGTTTTGAAGCAATCAGGTCGTTGCTTTGACCTGGCGCCGCTAAGAAGCCTAAGTAGACATCCCAGCAAGAGTCAGCGTGTAGCCTCTCCAGGTCAGACCCACTGTCTGCAGCTGATGCCTCTCATCCACCTCAGGTTACTTTTTTTTGAGAGAGAGAACTCACCATTGTATGTGACTGCAGAGTGGGGATGAGCTCAGCTAATAATTTAGATGAAAGTTTAACCCGTATCTGGCTTGGAAACCACAAGAAAAGAAACAAAAATAATCATATAGATCACCAAAAAACACAGTTTCCAGGGGAAAAAAGTTCAGCTGTATTGATCAAATAAAACTCTTCCCTGTATCTCTGCCTTAGCTATCTGGAGAGCACCAGGAATTTAATAAGAGACAAATCACTAACAGCAGACCACAAGCTAATGGCATTCATTCCACACAGGATAACTGCTATTTAGGCTTACGGGATACCAAGCTGAAGTATTATTTACTGGAAAAAAATCAAACATTTTTGCTTCCCCTTCCCATCAAGATGGAGCTGAAGCAAAATCACACCAATGCTTATGTTAAGGACAAATAAACAATGTCTGGTTTTCCTTTAAACTAAAAGGAGAATTTGTGGAGAAAGCAGTTTTCTGCAATTGCTGCCAGCGGTGTTGCCAGCAGCGTCTCACCTGCTCATGTGATTTATTGTCTCTTCCTCCGACTGGCTGTCTTCAGCAGCGTTTATCATAAACTAGCTATTAGCATCCTACTGCAGCCGCTCGAAGGATCCCACAAAAAAGTTCCAGAAGTTGGTTTATTAATTTTTATGGGTTTCTTTACTGCGCTTAAAATTCCTAGTCGACAAACAGCTCAAAATATTCCTCACAAAGCTGAAAACCACACCCATAGACTAACAGTAAAAAAGGATATTAAGTTAGCTGCTCTCTGAAACACAAAGGTGTAGACAGATGGGAGGGAAAAGCATTTACTCATCTGCATCTTACTTCCAGCAAATAAAGTAAATTTTTAAAATTTCTTTATTTTAAACAAGCATCTACTTCTACATCTAACAACTGACCTGATAAGATTTTCAGGCTCCCAGCACTAGGAGAACAGAAATTTAAAAAAATTTACAACTCTCCTATTTATTTTCTTCTGGCTTACTGAGAAGCTGCATGTTTGATTGCTTTCCAAAAAGTACGTGGGAAGATTGCCCCACTACAGGAAAGGCTGAAAGTATCCTTCTCAGCAGTTGTTACCCACCATTAAACATTATATTCTACAGAATTACATTATAACCCCTGGGGGGAGGGAGGATATCAGTCTCCCTGCTTCACAAAGCATGATGTGCACTGTTGTGATTCCTCAAAATTCAAGGTGGAAAAACCCAAAGTCAGTCCTCGCTAACACCTAAAACCACTGTCTATAGACCTCGAGCTTCTTTTCCACATTCTACTTTCCTTCCAGCACACTCTACCACCCCTTCTAGCCAGAAAGGTACTTCATGGGATCAGAAAATGTAGCAAAAAATCATTTTCCAAGCCTCCATCCTCTTTTAGAGACATCATCTTCACAAATAAGTTATCCACACAATTTCAGGACAACTTTCACATTTCAATCCCGTTTGTATCTGAACACAAGCTAATTCTCAAAGTGTTCAAACAGTCAAATGTCTTCCATTTAAGAAATTTTTTCTATGCTAAATCTATTCCCAAGACCAGAGTAACTGATTAAGATCACTCAGCACACCCGAAAAACATTCAAAACTGAGCATTCACAAGTGAGCAAGCCATGGCAGTTTACAGTTATGATGTATATTTTTTAATGAAGCAGTAGATTCATATTAAACAAGCACACAAACAAGCAAACATCCAAAGTAACACATAAAAATAAACCCAAATACACCATTGCTTTCGGCACAAACATGGCTGTGTAAGTTCAGTGAAAAGCCACCAGCCCAGTCTCCGTGGAATAAAACTTTTACAGGCATTCAGAGGATTATCTTACAATACCAAACATTGACAACAGGTAAAAAAGTAACATAATCAGATTTCAAAACACAAAGCTTGGTTTGCCCTTTCCAGCTCAGGCTCCAAGCCCAACAAAACAGCACCAGAACAGGGGCTGAACATACCAATAACAGCGACCAGCCTCCCCCAGACCTGTGTGCTCTATGAAACCAAGCTGCAGCCATATACAGGCAACTCCCCAGACCTGTGTTACAGGCTGGCTGCACGCAAGCAAAACACCCAAAGATATCACACAAACTTCACATATTGTAACCCAAAACTTATCTACTGCTGGAGCCTCCCTCGAGAGAGGTACATGGTACAGCTTCCAGGTACAAAGCATTTGTGGGGAAAAAACCTCCCACTGATTCCTTCCATTCCTCGCCAAATATTACCTTTCTTTTGGATTTTAAAATTGTTTTCCCAGGTATGAGTGAAGAGTGAAATGTTACTACTGAATTATGCAAATCTGAAAAAAAATTAGTTTTGCAAGTTAAGGGATGCCTTCTCTGCAAAGGCAGAGAGGGATGCAAGGTGCTGGTGTTTGCTCTGCATTCCTAACGCGCATTTAGAAAAGCTTCATCAGCTAAACCCTTGCAGCTCCACTTCATTTTGCATTTCAGAAACTACTTTATGACCAGCGTTTAATTTGCCACTTTGGGAAGAACACATTCTTGGTAAATCACTTAGGAGTCCACAGTTTGTGTTTCAATCTGGAGGAGAAAACACACTTTCAGCACATTTACTCACATAGCTTGTTTACGTTTCAACATCACCTTTGTACTTATATGCACCAAACCTTCAGGAATTTATCAGCCTTATGTGACGACTCAACAGTGACCTATGCCTTCCAACATGACAACAAAATAAATATCAAAGTGCATGCAAGATAACAAGTATTTCTCCAGAACCAGAATGAAATTTTGTAAATTAGTAAGGAATTTCAGATGAAGCATAACCATCTTTTATTGACAAATGTCCTCATACCCAGTTTGCTCCTTTTTAAAAGAAATACTTTAAGGTCACCAATACTGTGTAAGCAAATACAAAACCATGAATGTTCCAAACAGTGAAGTCACCTTGTTGCAAAGCAATTCTCTTTCAGTCCCAACTGACCACCTTCAGTTACACAAACCATTTAAAAGGCTCTATTAACCTATTTCTTTTACGGTTAGCTGTAAACATATAGGAAAAGAAGTCAATATGCTGTATGTTCAGTCTTAAAAAGAAATTCTCTTTTCCACGGTGGGAGTTTCCAAAATATCTGTGTTACAAGTTTGCCTAATACAGACAATTTCTTTCCTCATTTCTGAATTTTCTGGCTTTATAAGCTAAAGATGACCCTCCATATTACTGTAATTTTGGGATACTTAGCTCTACAAATGAAACCTAAGAAGAGACAAAACCCCCCACATTAGTACTTGTGCACGTAACATTAAGCAGTACCCATAGACATGACGTGCTATTAGTCCTGCTCGCACGTGGCTTGATACGTTAGACTTAAAACAGTACCCCTATAAATAAAAATTATTAGAAATCCTTTTAAGGATGGGAAAACAAATATTTTCACAAAATTTACTGGACAATTCATTTAACAAATGCATGTTAAACACTCTTTAGCACCTACCACATGTATTGTTTGACATCTTTAAAAATATCAGCTAGCATCTGCCATCTCATTAGCGCTACACAACATTTAAACGCGCCGCGATGCAGCTCCTATTTGTCTGGTCCAGCAGAGCACTGTGCTGGCACAGACTACCACAGCTCCTTCCTGAGCAGGACTGTTTAAAATCCGGGGAAATATACGCCGAGACACTTGCTGACTAATGCGTTTCCAGCAGATGCTCTATTAGTCTATCACACAAGATAGAGAAGGGAAAACCCTTAAGAAACACCAGTGAAAATACCAGCAATACAGCTTGCTGCAGTAACTAAAAATATTAATGCTTTGAACTCTGTCTGCATCAAAATGCTGACCTGGAGGCTCTGAAACGAGGGAGATTTTTGATTTTTGCTCATTTTTTTGAAGATTTTAAAGAACCAAAGTAATGTATTTAGAGATTTCATGACAACTGATGTTGGCACCTCACTACCTACATCAAGAAAACAGAAATAAAGATACAAAAAGGCTTTCGGATACAGATTTAAAAATGGAGTCTTTCAGCCCAGATGTTCAAAAGCCCTTTAGGGAAAAATGTGCAGGGGAAGTGGCTCCATGCTATGAAACAAGGACAAAAACAAAGGATAAAAAAAGGACTTGGGGGAGAGTAGAGGGATTTGGGGTTTTTAAAGCAGGCTTTATCATGTGGATGCAAAATCAGTCATTTTGGATGCACCGCCTGGGATTTTTTCCTACCACTTTTTATATATCACTAAAGAAGAAAAAACTGTTTAAGGTTCTGATGGAAACAGCACAAGGACTTTCTGAAACTCATAAACCTCTTTTTGCAGTGGAAAAGTTCATGGTATCATTCCTAGTGGCTCTAGATAGTTTACTATGAAGTCTACATACTAACACAGGCAAACGCAAACAGATTCTGCACAGCAAATCATGCTGGGTGATTGTTAGCATTGTTAGGAAAAAGCCTAATATATACTGTTGGCAGATAAATACTGCTGTCTATGACCTTTCTAGAGTATTTTTTTAACAAAGAGTTTTCTAAAAACCTTAGATTTGGGGGTTATTTTATCTGTATATATACACAGGGAGCAAAAATACAGAGCTGTACATGGATGAAGTTGTTCTGCATACTCTCTCCCTCTGAATTTGAATTTGAACACATACAGAGAATGAAAACATTGGCAGCAATTATTACTATAGGTGGTCTCCTGAGACTGGAAAGAGAAATCTGCATTCCCTCCTTCCAGCAAGGCTGTAAATATTCATCATCTTTAAAACAAACGGCACCTGAAATGCAAGGCCAGCATTCTGTACGACCAAGAAAAAAATGACACAGACTTTCGCGACCCTTCGCAGGCAGCAGACCGACTCATGCAAGGGAGAAACCCCTGCTGGAAAAGCAAATAGGAAATGCCTCGGAAAAGGGACAGTCTATACTTCTGCTCCCTTCCGCTGTGCTGTCTCAGACCTCCGCAGGGTAATAAAATCACAATCTGTAGGACCACAGCAGCATTCGTCATGGAAATTTGATGGGGGAGGATTAAAATTAAGTCCTTGATGTCTCACATTATGCTTCTAAAATGAGCTGACTTTTGACACCTTTGAATTTAAATGGCTGTTTAGGTCTCCAGATGGAAATCAGGATACTGCTTTCCCTTGTCTCAGCTCACATTACCAAGATGAACTCGTTATGTTGATAATGCACGCTGCTCGTTCACTCTGGTAAAAATTCCAGTGTCAAAGTACATGAGAAAAATAATAATTCTGTATAGAAAGCAAGCATTAAACATTGGCTCATATGATGAGATTGGGGCCACACACTCAGTACTAATCACTCACCAAATGAGTGAAAGGGGTCTGAGGAAAATCCACATGTTATCATGTAGAAATTGTCACCACACTCGCAAATGGTTTAAGGAACCAAAGTAAGATACAACTAAAAACCTTGCCATTCCCTTTTACTCTCTCACTCTTTTCTTCTACACCTGCTTCTCCCATCCAGACCTGCCCTTCTTCTGTAGTCAATGAGGTTAGACATCTCCTAAAACATTCCCTCCCACCCTGCTCTGTCCATCCTCCACCCCTCTCCCCTTCTGCCTGGTAACTTCACATTCCCCAAGGACTGCATTTTCAGAGGTCAATTTTTATCCCTTAAGTATTAAGCATTAATCTAATGGCAGCAAAACTACCAAAGAAAGCCAAAAATGACCCCATAAACCACTTCTTGATGAAAAGACTGCATACATCCACTAAGGGCACTTTGTCACCAAATTGCTTATTTTTTGCTAAATTCCCCTATGGATTTCACTATGGTCACAAAGCTACAGGGCAAACTGAAAGTATTTAGAGTACATTTCCCCCTCTGCTTACTAATACTGAATAAACTTCCCTCTGCTTTCTAGTTCCTTTTCCTAGAAATCATCTTATGAACTACAGCGTCTAAACATCTTCTTCCTCAAATATTCTTTAACATACTTCACCCTACATAGTTCTGTAACCTGAAAAACTCAAGAAAGTTTGCAAAAATATCCTTCCCCGAACTTGCACACCTTCAAATACATGGCATTTCCCCACAGCATTTGGCCAGAGAAACGCCTGTCCTTTCTCACAGAAAAAAACTAACTTTGTGGCCTCGAGTAGAAAATGCCATTTTCCAACAGGGCCAGCTCTATCACAGTCTCATCAAGCTGCAAAATAAGTCAGAAGTCTCAAAAGACACCGTGAAAATAGGAGGACAGGGAGATACACATTTGAGCTTTACTCAAAAATGTTCCCGTTAATAAAGCCATGTATTAACGGCTACCCTGAGGACTGTACTCTTAACAAGCCAAGTTCAAGTATTCTGAAATAAATTCCCTAGGCTGAGGATCAAGGAGAGGATTCAGAATTATTTATTAAAGGAGCGGGGAGAAGGGGTGAGCATACACTGTCCCTTTTACATGAAAAGTGCACATTATGAGGTCTGAAGCACAAACTAATCAAAGCACATGCTGTCTGCTTTGTACCTGCCAGAAATCCTGGTGGAAGGGGAGAGGGTTAGAAAAGGGAAGAAAACGAGGGAATGCTTGGTTACACCAAAAAAACAAACCATAGTTAGAATAAAGACACAAATATCAGAAATATTAGCAGCTGAAAGAAACACCCACCAGGTACCTAGAAACCAGAATAAAAGAGGTCATACAGCAACCAGAACATTTTAGTAGTATGCGCCAAATGAGCCCTGTGAAAACGAGCAACAGAATTAGCAGTACAAAATGCAACAGCAAGTAGAGCTCTGTCAAAACCAAAATACATCACGAACATTCGATAGAGGAGGTAGGAAAGGCAGCGTGTTCTGTACGTGGACGGAAAGCAATCCAGGTGTCCACAGGGAAGTTTGTGCACCATGCGTTTACCTGTGTTACAAGCAATTAAGTATTTCCTTTGATGAAATCTGTTTTTATTAAAAACAAGAGAAGAATTTGCAAATCACTGTCCACACAGGTCCCAGTAAACAGGGAAAAGCACTGAGGAACACAAAAGTAACTCAAAACTGCTAACCAAAGCAGATGGGAGGGCCAGGTTTGGCCTGGGAGGAGGAAGCTAGCAAGCAAAGAAACCCACGGACATGGACAGTGGCATCAGCAAAGAAAGTCAAGAGAAAAAACGTGTCAGCTCAGCTCAGATTTGTTGACGACCTGCAATAAACTGCATTTCTGCTTTTTTCCACAAAGGGCCACAGGCAGGAGTTGTCTCCTGACAGTTTGTTATGATGCTTTTGGGGACGGCAGAGGAACATTCATACACATGAGCGTAAGGCTATTATCTATGTAAGAAGATGCCTCTTGGTAATTATGTAAATACTACCTGCACTGAGATCAGAAGGTGAAGGAGTCCAAAAGCAGGAAATCTGAAATCGGACAGTGACATTTTACATGGATTATAGACTGGGATAGCTGAATGCTTCAAGGTATCTCCAAGCAAGCCACAACCTAAACTCAACAGCTCAAACTGCTGACACTGGGGACTCATTTATTTCAAACAGTCTTACAACAGACATTGGCAAGACCTCATGGATTTAGAGGACTCCTCACCTGCATTCATTGCACCTAAGCTAGAGAAAGTACTGAGTATCCTTCTTGGTTAACAGGCTTGGTAAATCAACTGCACATGCACTTTACGCTACTATTTACTGAATTGCAATAGCTTGCTTTTGTGAAGGTATCATTTAGAGTTGCACCCTTTTGAATGAACGTTTCACAGGCACTTGAAGATCGCAGGAGCTCAGAGTTCTGATCTATAGTTTGGCTCCTGAATGACAGCAGGACTTTGAGCTTGCCTCACTTGCTGCAAGTCTGAGTCTACATCACTCTGGTGGAAGTCTCACAATCCAGCCTTAGTTCATACACAAAACAAAGGACCCCAGAAATTCAGGCTAATGAAGAAAGGCTCCCTTTTACCCCTCTTTCAAACGTGGCAGCAAGATCCCTCAATCCACTACAACAACCTGTATGAAGGATGGTCCTTCTACCTCCAAGTCCTTTTCATAAGGATCCTTCCTGAGAACACTTTTCCAGCCTCCTCTGCTCCTCAGATGCTCTTTAAAAATCATCTGGCAAGAAATCTTCCTCCTGAGCTGACTCCCAGCAACTCTTCTTTAATAGACACACACCTCCAGTTACAGGGCTCTGGCAGATAAGTGTAGCTTAAGCTAATCGTTGTACTGGTCCATCATACAAGCCTGCACTATGCAGTGGAAGCGAATTTCAGATGTTTTACTGTCCTTCACAGAAACTATTCAAAGTCTTCTCCTTTTCCTTCATTTTGCTATTGCTCTGCGTTACTCTATGGCATCTCCAAACATCTAGAGATGTAAATATAAATGCTGGCAGGAAATACTTTATTCATAAATTTAATTAGAGGGCATTGAAAGCCTCTATAATTACTTCCTGCAGCAATGGTAGCAGAAGGGTAAGCTGTCGCTGGTAGCTTACAGGCTTTTGTTCGTATTAAGCAGTAGCAAGAAATTTTCCCCGCAGGAGAACAAAAAGAGCAAGTCAGGTGTATTCTGTATTAAACTAATAAGCCATCTAGGGTGTTTTTTCCTAAATAGGCTAGAGGTCTCTTAAAAGCACTACAGCTTACCTTTGGTGGGAACGCCCAACCACACAAAGATGGATCTATGCTGTGCACCCACCACATCCATTTTCTGCCTCTGCTCCCACTTTTACACTAGGCTGCACTGCCAAAAGCTCAGCTGCAGCACGCCTGGGAGCTCCCCCACGCTGGCTTACCAGGATGGGGACTGCACCGCAGGACCCAGGTGTCAGGGCATGATTTTGCTCTGAACAGGGTGGATATGCAGCTCGCGCTTTAGAGGAACACCACTAACAGCATGGCTTTTTTTTCTTTGAGAGATTAAGCTTTTCAATCAATAATGCATAAGCCAAAAAAAGCAAACAGGGCATGAAAAAAGAAAATTTTAAACAATCTGTATTACAACCACTGTAACGTTAATAAAGCTTATGCTGCATTACATGTGCTAAGATACATAATTCTATTTAGTGAAAGCTTATTCATCACTATCATCTTGCTAACCAAGATGCATGTAAAATGATGGAACAGTACAACGCCTCAGTTTGAAAGTCTGACACAGCAAGAACATCTCCACATTGCTCTCAGAAACGCTCTTTCTTAAGCCCTAACGAGCGTTCAGCAGTAGGGGAACAGCACATCTTCACTCCTTCTAACCAGAGGGAAGCTTTTCAAGATGGTAGGATGAAAGAAGGGACACCATGGGATCTGCCTCTGGCAGCCCTGAAAAGCACAGTGCTTCACAGATGGGTTAAAAAAGCATTGGCTTTCCCACAGCCAAAATGCCAGAGGAGGAAAGATGCACAGCGGAAACGGAGCAGATGAACAGCTGTGGTCACCTGCATGCCACAGCACCCTGAGCTACACATTAGATTGCGTCTATTCTCACACCAGCCTTTTGTTCAGGCCCAGTATGAACACTTTGAAATGTCTGCAGACTGATTAATATTTTTTTCCCCACTCTGAATGAATAGTAATCAATGCCTCTTTTCCTCTGCTTTCCAGAGCTTGCTTCCCTGGGGGAGAAACCACCACACTTAGACAAAAATGGAGCCAAGGACAGAGTTGCCTCCCCACACACTCAGCAGCAGCAGGTCAAAGAAAAGTATGAGTTCATGCTGGCAAACAGATCTGACCAAGGGTTTTTGCTGGATGAATGTCTCCTGGGTTTTTGGTCTTGTAATGAGTGAAGAAAAAGCATTTAGGCTCAAGTTACAGGAGCATTGTTCCCATTAATAAGGTAGTAACATTTACCTCCCTCTCCATCAACTCTATAGATTATCACTAGGAAGAAAGAGGGGCAGAAAGAAGAAAAAAAAACTGGTATTGTCTTCTCACCACATCATTCAATCACATGCACAGCAAGGTGCTTCAGAAACCCAATGCAATTACAGTACAGAGGCACATCACTCCATAAAATCCTTTGGCAAGACCAGTCTCGATCACCGCATGACAGCCAATTAGTTGTTTTGATGGTAGTTTTACATAAATAAAATTGGTTCTGTGAAAAAAGCAGCTCATACATCTGCTTACTGATGCTGTAACATTTACTTCTCAAACATACATGCTCAAAATTCACACTGATATTTTAAACATCATTCTGTAATATGTAATTAAAATGCAACTGACTACACAGCTGGTTCTATTCTTTTAACTAAATCTCTTCCTAAATTATTACTTGCATGCAACTCTGGGTATACATCTTTGCTTGGAACTAAAATTCATTCTCTTTTCTACTCTTCAGCCAGGATCTAGCCTGCAGATTCTCAGTACTTTTCAGTACCACAGCTTGCTTGTGTCCAACTGCTCTGAAACTCCTTTCACCTTAAAAATACAGAGGAAATTTCCAGTGAACAGGCCTATTACTTTCTGAGCACTTGCCTGCACCACAACTCCCATCACCTCTGCGCAACATTTGCAAGGATGCTCAGAGGAATGACGGACGTTTTACCCTTCTGCTTGAGCTCAGCAGCTTTGCCAATACACAGATGGAAAGCACCAGAAAGTCTCCAGGTAGAGGATGCTTTGATAACCCAAGAGGAAAATGTAGTTGGAAACTGGCAAGGAAGAAGAGATGCAGAAGGTTTTCATCCCTCAGGTGCTACTATGCAAGTGAAACTTGAATGAGTAAGGTCAGCTCTGCAGCACCTCAGTTGGTGCTTGACTGAGTAAAGACAGTGTTGTTTTTTAAAGTGAAACCCAAAGCAAGCAACAAAATGAGAACAAGATGCTATCAGACAAATCAATCTACTGTCAGCTTCTTTCATTTCCAAGGGAGAGCCAAGGCCAACTTATTTCTTACTCTCCTCGAATTATCCTCTCACCTGGACATTATCAGTACCCTAATAGCCACAGCCAGATTTAGCCAGTTCCAAAGTGTCTTTAAGCAGACAGCCAAGCAAACAAGAAGCTCTATTTCTTCATTTTCAACAGAACAAACTGCTTCTAGGGTGTTATTAGGCTGTGGAAAAACCAGGTCCCAGGAGAAGATAACAATAAAGTCCACTGCAGTATCCTAAATCTGCTGCCTCACTTTCGAGCTATCCAAACCACAGCATGTAGACATCCAAGTGCAGCACCGACATCTGTAAGTTATATAAAAAGCAATTTCACCCTGCTACAGGTCAGAGTAAAAGGTGGTTAGCGTGTAAGGCAAAGGCCATCTGTTCTTCACCCTTCAGCCAGCATAGATGTTCACCATGCTGAACGGCAAGATCCCCAGAGCATGGATGACGACGCACAGTCAAGCACGGTACCTCAAACACCCACTGTGGGTTTTCAACACCCCTGGGTGGTGACTGTGTCCATCGCAACCAAATGTGTTGCAAGTCAAGCCCTCAGTGCTGAGGGGCAGAAGAAGAGAAAGTTGAGTTCAGGAAAGGGATTGCCTTTGGATCGACTAGCCAATGAGAGAGGAATCGACCGCTCAGGAAAAGCAGAACAATTAGCAAAAAGAGTGTGGGATTCAGCATTTCCTCCCCAGATCCTGTTTATGCAAAGCCTAAGGGATAAATATGATTGCTTGACAAGATAAAATGAAGAATACATTTTTTTTTTTTTTTTGTCATGAAAAGCAGACATTGGGTTTGTGGCAGGGGGAGAAGAAAACAAGTGTTCACAATACGCTTCGTAGTTTTATGCATCAAAACCAACTGCCAAAATACTACCTTCCAATTGTCTGTTTTCAAGCACAATCTCGCTCTGCTGCCTGGGTAACCAGAACACTTGTACACCACTGATGACAGGGACCCCAGGTATTTGATCACCTTCTGTCTTTACCTTCCTACTAAACACAAAACAACACAAGGAACTGCATGTGTTCAGCCCACACTGTGTTTATATAAAGCCTTAAATGCATTTTGTTCAGCATCGAGGCTTTTTGGAAGCGTCTGACACTATATGTTATGTACATGACTCAGCAACGAAGGGATCAGATTCTGATTTCCCTTTGGAAAAAAAAAAGAAGCTTTACTTTCAGATGATGCAGATGAAATTAAAATATTGCTAAAAGCTGGAGTACCATTATGTGACCACAGTGATATGATGCCAAATTAACTAACCTGTAGTTATCTGCATCAAGAAGTCGGTACGAGCTGCTAGTCCTAGGGCAAGAGTTGCCTTTACTGTACTCCTCCACACCAGGCGGATTTACAGTGTGGTTAATTGGGTCTCTGATTTGCATAACAACAGGTAGGATGCTGCGTGGCTCCACTTATGCAGGCAGACAAAACTAGATCAGAGCATCTTCAACATTTTACCAACACAAAGGGTGTGACAGCACAAACATCAAGAACAGTCGTGTACCACTGTAGGAAAGACCTAGGGTTCAAAAGTGGAACGGAGTAAGGCTGGCTGATAGGGGGGCAAATACATGCTTGGGATGCAGATTACACAAGAGTGTCTCCTTCCTTTAGGAATCTGGAGATGAGTCTGGAAGGGAAAGGCCAAGCGAGTTCCCCCAGAAACAGCATAACTTGTGGGGCTCTCCTACAGCCATGAAGAAGCAGCAAGGAAACGTGATTACAACCTATAATTTTCTGGCCTACCAGTGTATAAGAAGAGGCAGTATTTTGTCCATAAACATTAAAATAAGACCCCTTTAAGGAAATCTTTTTCTCATTCATTGTCATTACATGAAAAGCATTGCAATGTTCCTAAACAACCTAAAGCTCAAAAGAGAATACTTCAAATACTTCATTTAACTTACACCCACATGCAGGTAATAACTAAAGGACTCTAGGTTAAAAAAGCCATTGAATAATATACACTTAATAGTCTAACGTGCTCACCTTCCCATCATAGCGTTTCACTATAAATTGATCCAGGCCCAGGTCTGAAAGAGAAAAAAAAGACAAGATACTGTAAAAAATGCCCTTAGAGTGTAAAAGTAAGCATTTCTTGTGCTTTGTGTTTGAGTGGGGATTAGACAGCAAAATGCACTGTCTGAATAACATCAGTAGAAAGTATAAGGACACAGAAGGGAAATTATTTTCTTTTCGTGCATTTTGTACTTTATATTTTCATCATGAAAGACTATAAACTCACAGCATCAGTGAAGAATACCTCCTCCTAGCAGGGACAACAGGAATACAGCTCCCAGCACCTCTCAAGGGACTGCATTACCCATTCCAAAGCAGAAGATTTCTGCACTATTAACACGCAAACATTTCACTTGTGATGCCCCACGTAAATGCACGTTCATAAAACTCTTATTGTTTTTAAAAACACCTTTTGAATGGCTCACAAATTGGAAAAAAAAGAACTGTTTCCGTAATTGAGATACTCCCAAATAAATCCAAAACTTGTTCCTATTTTAGTATGAAATTGCTTGTAAATAGATTTTAAAGGAGACAAGTTGTAGCTGCATTTGTAAGAAGGTGAGTGCTTTAGCTGGAAGGACGTTTTGGAGAAAGGCAGGGAGAGGGGTTATTTATACCAGCAAATTCAATCTCTCCTATCATCACAAAATGTGTTTTCTATCTTGTAGAGAGGAAAAAAAAAAATCCTAGCATTTGCAGAGTTAAGACACAGAGATCTCAATCTAATCTGCAATGCCCAGAAGCGACATGTACACTGATGAAGGCACATACACGCAAGATGACAAAAATATTCAGGAAGATTAATTATCCGAACTTTGCAATCCAAAATCGGGAAGATGCACCCTGAGAGAAGACTGAATCAGAACTCAAACCCAGCACTTCCAGTAATTTGGGAGAGCACAGGCTGATTTTCTGTTCTCTGAGAAAAAAAGCCTTGAGAAGAGCTATGTCCCATGCATTTTCTGCCACTGTTTATCATAATTATCACATCATCATTTCAATTTACATTAGAAAAAAGATGGTAAAAACAAAATAAAACTTCTCCAACACCTGCTGCATCACCTGCTTATGAAAAAGGATAAAACCCTTCCTGTCTACTGGAAAGGTTCATAATGGTTACGGTGCAGAAAATGGAGTTATTCATCACTCCAGGGTGACCCCCTCAACCTTTCTGAAGCAAAGTAGACAAAACTCCTCCACCACCAATTTCAAAGGTCAAGGCAATTGTCAGAAGGCTTTCTGGATTCATGAATATTCAAGCTAGAAAGTATTCTCAATATTTTGTGTGCCTGACCATAGAGTGAAAATTGCATATTCATACACATTTTCAGATTTTAATCTTCTGAATAATTTTGTCCCTCCTCAAAGTTGTGGGTATAAGCACAGTACAGTAAGTATTGCCACACTTCAGGGCAGGATTTATTTAATAATGTGTTTATTTTGCCAGAGACACATTATCTGGTCAGAGCTCGCCCCTGATCATCCATCTGGATGCTGACCACTAAGCTGAGCTTAGCTTATGTCCATGTGTCATAATAAAGTCATTTCTCAATCACACCTCCTGTTCCCATGCCAGGAAATAGTGCTGTAAGACGCATCCCTGACAGCCCAATGTTACACACGTACTCATGGAAAGCTAAAAAAGGACACGGGTTAAAAATAGCAAGTGAAAGCATGTCCTAATGGCACACATCCCCCAACTGGACATTACTACTGAGAAAGCAAACATTTTTCAAAGGAGACCCAAAATGAATGGATGCTTGTGTAGATGAACAGCAAGAAAAGATGAACTAACAACTGTTTTCTTTTATATATATATAAAATAAATATCAACTATATGTCTAAACATATATAATATTTATATATATATAATAATATATATGCAAGTCTGTATGTACACATAGAAAAGTTATTAAAAAAAGCCAAATGACACCTAAAAAGGCAGAATACCAGTACCTATACTAAAGGAAGAGGCTAGTATTACAAGCTTTGTGCTCTCCACAGATGTAACATCAGGTGGGCAAAATGGGAGGTGATGGGGGGTATGACTGGATGCGACTAAAAAGCACCATGAGAGTTAACAGCAATAAATTACAATAATAATGAGTCAGCGAAAGAAAAACACACTGGTGAAATCAGGAGTTCTGAATACAGGGTAGTTTGCCTCCAGACTGGGGTTTGGTCCAGCCTCATTCACCTAAGCACAGAGATGTTTGTTTCCATGTGTTTCGTCAATTGCTATAGCATGTAACAAAAAGTCATGGAAAAACAAAGCATCTGGATAACCTCAGACTATTCCTGTGAGGGACAGAAAGATGGACCTTGACTTACATATGGCTTTTCTGTAACTGCATCCAAACCCTCACACCAGGCGTAGAAGCTGCCAGGTTTGCCCTCAAGCTTAAGAGCTCTGAGCATTTCATTATTTGCTGAAGAAACTGCTTACAACACCACAGCAGTTACAGAAACATAGTTATTATTACCTATACCATGTCAGCTTTCTTCAACACAATCACATCTGACAAGAAGCAAATATATAACCTTGGTTTATATATAACCTTGGTTTGTCTCAAAGATCAGGGAAGACAAATTTATATGGAAATGCAGCACAAAAATTTGTCACTTCTGCTGCTGCCTTTTTTCACATCACTGTATCAGCACACCCTGAAGACAGCATTAGCTATTGCAAGCACAAGCATATTGGTTCAATCAGTGTTTTATGCTCACCCTTTCTCCCAGCCATGCACAAGAATATCCCCTCCGCTGCACTAAGCTGCACGCTTAAGTCCCTCTATAAAATTCCCCTTACAATAGCTCCTGAGAGAATAAGGTAATTCAAAACCTGAAAAAGGGCGTTTAAATGTTGAAGGCATACAGTTTTACTCGATACATTTTCCTTTTTCCAATAGAATTTATTTTCTATCTTATGGACTTAGCTACATGTTTTCCCACAAGTCTTTTATCTTAAAAGATGACAAAAGGAAACCAAGAAAAAAGAGGGACAGTAGCCTGATGCCTGTGGTGTTCTTTCTTTACGTTACATAAAAGACCCAAAAGACTTTTCCTCCAAGACTTTACAATATGAATTCAGCGTTTGTGTAGGCTGGAGAGGTAACAGAAACACTGCACAAATGAGGACAATACATCTGAACAAGGAAAGAATGTTAGTTATTACATCTCTGTTATTGAAAAGGCAGCGTGCTAAGTTAAAGCTACCACAGGATCGTCTCTAAGTGATACATTCATAAAACAAATATTCCCTAACCGGACTATTGCTGACGAGCTACAGGAACACAAGCTAATAGGCACGTTTAACAATAAAAAAGAGCTTTTCTGCCTTTCACTGAAAAGCAGGGGCTGAAATACCATTCTACCAGAAACAGATTAAAGGATTTCCTCCTAGAGAGACGGCAATGAAATCCAGGAATTGTTTCAGGAGGATACCTGGCTGCCTCACGAAGCCTCCCCGGGACTGAAGACAGCGTGACGTGCACCATGGCCATTCCAGATCGAATAGTGACCACATAGAACAGCTGGGCTTCGATGCTTGCTTCTGCTCGAACAAACCCAGAGCTCTGCCATGACCATGACCTACCCCAGAATATGCCTTTTATTTACACAAAACACTGTACATCTCACTTTTCACTACACATCCGGATTATCGAAGCCCCTTTTGCCCACCAGCTGCTCACCTTCAGCAGCACCAATGAGGACCTGCGATGATTTCCAAATTTGCTTGCCATAGCTAGTTTACTTTTAATCTTTAATTACCACTACGTACTACTCCTACAGATTCTGATACCACCTAAAGTACCATCGGGCAGTAAAAGAAACAGCAGCACTGTCGAGTAGGTAAGCAAGTGGCATCACTGTGTTATTTCAGATTACACTCACACCACTCACCAACACTAAAAATAAGGTCCCCACTCTTATTCACGTGATGGTACTTTCACAGCACTCAAAAAATAAAAATGTTTCAAAATAAATCAAAATGACTTACTGCATGCAACAATGGGGAAAAGAGGGTGTTCAACAAGAGAACTGTAATCTCTGCTTTTAATTCTTTCTTTTTGAGCTGAGGAGGATTTTTTAATGCAGAAGGAATTATTTATGTAAAGGAAAAAAACACAGAATAACCTGCTTGTTCAGCTCTAAAAGTCAAATGCTTATTCTATTTGTATTGATTAACGAAAACATACATGCCACAGATTCAAAGTTAGTTAATTATCACACTTAAGTATCTAAACAATTACTAAGCTCTTCATGTTATCCTGCTAAAAAAAAAATCCATGGGCAGCAGATCATAGATTGCACTTTTTAAAAATATTTAACAAGCAAGCTTCCAGAAGAATGATTATATCATGCCAAGAACACAGTTGAGATCGATTAGAAACCATCATGATTTCCTCTAGGATGCCAGCAGTTTTCTACTGATGAAAAAACCTTTTCAACTCCTTCCAGTCTTTATATCCTTGTCAGATTTTTCACATTATGTGGGTAACATTTAGTCATCATCTGCTTTTCTTTTCCTGTTGCTTGACATGTAACATGGACTCTTTTTCTTTCAAGTAGAGGAGCAAAAAGGCTACTTACCAAGACTGAAGAGGCTGATAAACATGCATGCAACATGTTGTTATGAGAGGAGAAAACTTGGACCAGCTGTAACCCAGCTTCTGATTTCTGTATGAGTATCTTCTCCTAAATTTAAAATGTAATCTGCAAGCAAATAGTGAGCTGCCTGAGATATGTCAGGGGGCAACACTCTCACATTTGTGTTAAAGCCCCAAACTATTTTGTCCAATGAACTACCTACCTGTTGGAGGAGGCAGAGATACAGGAGAGCTAAGTCAGTCTCTCCGAGATGTGCATTCATAAGACAACAGATCAGCCACACCACCCCATCATCTATACTGGAAGCCCTAATTATGTGTTTCTTCTGATGACTATCTCATAAGCATGGCCGCAAATGCACCTCTCACTTGCTCCTCCTTGGCCAGCTTCCTGAGACCTCGTATCAGGCGTAACAGGCTCAAAGATGATCCCTGCCTAGGAATTATATTTTCACAAAAAACAACACACAAAAAACAACACACAAAAAACCCTAAACCCCACACAGATCTACTCACCCTCCTGGTTCTGGAAGATAACTACCAAGTTACCTCCCCTTCTTATTTACACCCCTTCCCTGAAGGCCTCTCCAGCCAATGTACTTGGGGGAGAACAGAGAAGTAAGCATCCAAACTAGGAGGCAAGTTCAGCATCTCTAGTTTCCTTCTGGGTCTTAAATACCCTCGTTGAACACTTTGTGCAAGTTTAGGGATCTGTACAAGTCTAGTGAGTCCTCCCCTTTCCCCACCAGACCAGGTGAGCACTTGTCACAGTTCATGACTGCTGGTTCTACAGAAGATCAGATCTGTATTTTACAAGCTTAACTCAAAACAACAAATAATCACTCCAGCATTACAACAATCCAGAAGCCAGCTTGTGCCCAGCTGCTCATGAAGTCCCGACATGGAAAACCAAACCATTTCAAAACCTAGAATCAAGTTATACAGTCTGATCAAGTCACCAGACTTTGGCTCTGTCCTTCACAGCTCCTCTCCTCCAACACTGTCCTGTGCACAGAGGCTGCAGGGGCACAGCTGCTGGTTTTGGCTGAGATTCAACAGCATGTTTGTGGTTTTGTGCAGATAAAAAGAAAGAAAAATCTCCCAGGACATTTCCAAGACTTCTGATATTTGAGCTGCTGCAGAGTGTGGTGGATATTGAAAGGCGCCTTTCATGCAGCAGGAGTTTGGGTTAACCAGGGAGGTTAACACAGCAGTGGAAGAGCAGACTGGTTTGGGTATAATCTCTCTTTGTTATAGCGTACTGTGACGGTATCTGAAGTCTTTTTTCCTTCTTTTAATCCTCATTGCAAAGGCCAGAAAAACCCTGGTACTGGCTGAGTATGTCACAGCTGCCTTTTAGTCTAGGTTGCCCCAAAATACTCACTTTCACCAGGAAAACAGTCAGTGCAGAACAGACCCAGAGAAACCTGGGTAAACGGAGGGAACTCAGAGGCTAGGAAGGAGAGAAGGACTGGATAGGCCATCACCAAGCAGGTCCACGCACTTGGAAATGTTCATGCAGGCCAACAGCTACGTAAGGCTACCGAGAACACGCCTGCAGTGACCTGCAAGTACCAGGCATGGTTACGGCTCCTGTCAAGTGTCATGGCTTCATACATCTCTTTCAGCAAAAGCCCACCTGTCTTTGAAGAGCTGCAACATCTAAAATGGGGTTTTTGCAAACCCTTACCATTCCCACCAGACACCAAGAGGCAGTATTTGCAGCTGGTTTTGGGCTGGGGTACCAAGCAAGTGCCAAGCAAGGTACGAGGCAACCATCCCTGTTCATCCAGCCTTGGAGCCAAGCTACCGCTCGGATACGAGAGAAAGTGGGAGGAAAAAAAACCAGCACAGGACTGCAGGGAGCAGATATCACTGCCCACGCTCCTGTTGGCACTTGGACTTTCCAGGTAGCATATAAAGAAATTTTTTTTTAAAGTAGCTCCAAGTTTAATACCATTCTTTGGCTTATTCTGACAGACAGTTCCAAGCTCAGCAAGAGTGTGCCACACCTTAAGCACAGCTTGCCTACTGGGGAAAGCTACGGCAGAAAGTTTTACTGAACCAGAGAACGCTATCTACAGGAGCTAATGAATTGGCATTCATTTTCCCCAAGCTAGCAAAGTACAGTCTAGAATTAAGTTGACACTTTATTGACAATAAATCAAACCTTAGCCTATGCAATCCATGAAAATGAATCAGGCATGTGATACCTCGCAGTAGATTAGCAGTTTAAAAATAAATACAGCAGGGACTCAGATACTTCATTACTCCGTATCACTTACATTCCACAGCATTTTCTCTCCATAAAATAGCAGACATTAACAAGAAGTTACTCGCTGAAATTATGATCGGCAGCTTGAGCATACAGAGCATCCCCTGCTCTCCTCATGTCTCAGACTGCTTACGCAGGACCGTATTAATTCACAAGACCACAAGATGATTGCTTAGCCACACAAACCCATCAACAAATACCACTCATGGAAAACCTTGGGGTCAGTGGGACGACAGAAAGCAATCTGAATTCAGTTCAAGTATTATCCTACCTAGCTAGTATGATTACAGCAGGATATGTCACTACCTGAAGGAGATTTCCAAAGAGCACTCCAGGCTACATCACTACCTAGAGGAGTGCCCTGGGATGAAGGCGGGATGCTCCAGCCCCGGCGGAGGGCACACCCAAGTCATGACTAAGGCAGAAAGCAGCCCCAGCATTTCCTTATTAATCTATAACCTAGATTATCCTATGAGTCAAAAGTACTGAAGGATGTAAAGTATGGAAATAAACCAGCCAGCAGGTAGCAGTCTTTGTCCTACTGTAACTTCTGATTTTAAACTCAGACTTACCTTTTTTCTTTTTTTAACTACCAGCTTTTAAAACATTGGGGAACATGGTTATGTCTGGTTTGACTTTACTGTAGCATTAAGTGTTTTACTCTTCATTATGTATTAAAAACCCATTTACCTTGATTGTCAGGATATACAGCACTCATAAGGAACAACCATCCCCTTAGCAGCAAGTCCATGACAGTAACTGTCCTCAAGACAGATTTTCAAACTGGCAAGATATAAGATGCTGATGCTCCTGCTTTGCCTGCTGATGGGCAGCCAAAGCTCAATTTCCATGTCATTCCACTTTACAGGTGCTCTTGGAAGTATCACTAAGGCAATTTTCTTCCCTTATAGGCTCCTTTGTGTCACTGACTGGCAGTGTTTCAAGGCAGCAACAGGCTTCATGGGCCCATTTAAGCAGCTCCCCTAGCCAGGATAATAATAATTACAGCAGCAAGTTAGTGGCTAAGACTGACAAATTATTTCCCATTAGTGACCTTCACTTGTCTTCAAATTCTGAGTACTTTTCCACTCATTTTCTGTGTGCACCTTAGAATGCACCAAGCACATATCTTGCATGGAAGAAGTAAAAGAGAATCAGATGTCTTGAAATTAAACATAGGATGTTTTCTATTTTTAAGCTGGCTGACAAAAAAAAGACTTGCATTTGAAAACTTGCATTCAACCAGGTGCTACTCCTATCCAAAGTATCAATTCAAGGAGCTTTAGACAGGTAAGATAGTAACACACAATGTCAGCATCTAGGAACATTATCTTCTGTTCATTGCTCAAACTACTTCTTCACTGAAGATGAAACCATGTAATTCATATGAAAACTACAGCCATTTTCAGGACTGGATGAAAACCTAAATACCCATTCACCAACATGTTTAACGCTAATGCCGGGATTATTTTTTCTTCTCTCCTGCACACACTTCATATTGTTTTCTCAACACAAGAGTACACAGTATTTATTTAGCAGCTGTCATCAAATATATCAAAACAGTTTCAGAGTTTGTACATAAACCCCACTCTCAAAGAGTTAACATTTAGGGGCTGAGGTTCTTCATTAATGCCTGTAGAGAGAAGAGGAGTTTTAATTTGATAAAAGCCTGTTTCATTCTTTGAGACACACTGCAGGAGACCAAAGATCTTGATTTCCCACTTCTCACCCAAAACACAAATCCCCTCCAAAACAGGAGGTGGGCAAAATCCATCTGCCACCCTACAAAAACCAACCTCTCAAACACTCAGGACACAGCTTTCCAGACCAGAACAAACAGCACCTGCTCTCCCGCCTGTTGCCTGCCAAACCCCCACAGGTACCACAGCTGATGTTCTTCCCTGCAACATGCAGCGAACTTCAAGCTGACAGAGGCGAGTCCCAGCCTGGCCAGCAGAATCACAGCTCAGCTGACCACATGGGGCTGCCTGGAACCCTTTATTTATAGTGTTTACCTTGTCAAAGCAACCTCTTTCTGAAGGTTTATGAACAATTCTTAAAATGTTTCAGTTGAAGGTGATCTTTCACTAGTAAATACACAAGAAAGTAATCTGATCTGCTCTTCAACGGCTCATAACAATGAGACCTACTATGCTGCAATAGCACTTCAGGCAATATGGAAAGAATTGGGGTAATTTTGGATTCGGAGTGTGGAGAGGGCATAGCTTTGGGAGGCGTTTGCTAGCCGTACCAGTCCTGGGTTCGAAGCTCCCAAGAAGCATACCACAACCAACAGCTCTGAACCTGAGCTATCACCGTTCTTTGGCAACACTGTGCTGCTGCCAGTCAGTCGGGTTCAAGGCAGCACAGACACGCTGCAGGCTCTGCTGGAGAGACGAGCGTGGCTCCTGCACGGCTGCACTGGTAGCTTTCTGCCTTGCTCCTGCATTCATTGTTTCTCTGTTATCCTTCTGTGCATCGTCGCATTGCCATAATGCATGGGTTGAGAACTTTTTTGACTGTGGCAGCACCTGAATCTGCAACTCCCCTTTTGTGCCATACCTCTCCACATAACGACACTCAACAAGACAACTGTTTGATGGGAAATTTAAACATCAGGTAAGCAGAGACTGGAACGTTTATTCCCCTTTGTTCTATTAGTTCCTCCAATTACTACAGACACATCACTTACTTTCTGGTTGTTTTTCATTAGGTGTTATCGATCTCACAAAATCCTGCGGTGTCATAAAAACCTCTGATTCACCATGCTCGTTTATGACTTTCAAAGTAGCAAAGTATCTGAAGATTTTGTCGGGCGTGGAATAGGCTCTGATCCTGTTCTCGTATTCCATCACCTGGAAATAAAATTTAAACAGCATTAGATATGCACGGTTCCTCCCCCAACACCTACATTAGCACCTTAGTCCTCTGAAGGTTTTGCCACATGACAACAAAGTTGTCTGCAGCAACACAACACTTGAAAGAAATAATGTTGAAAGGGTCAAAATCCCTCCTACCCTCAGCCTTTCAGCTACCAGGAAAACTGGATGTATTGACTCCTAATGTCCCAGGATTAAGAACAAACACAAAAAGTCTTTACTATTGATCAATTTTGACTCTTCATGATGGCAGAAGAAAAAGAAATTAACCCCTGAAGGCGCTTTCAAACACCGACATAAAAAACCACTAGTATCACACCTGTGAATCTAAAGCAGCTCAACATTGTAACCAGTGTTGAAGGGTCTGATTTATGATTTATAAATGAAGTAAAAGTCTTGGAGAGCTGGGAGAGACCTTTACTTTCAAGCCATGTCTTGGAAAAAGCTACTCAGAGCCTCAGCTGGTTGCTCAGTCACCCAACCTCATTTTTTCCTCTCTGCTATCCCACTGGCAAAATATTCTGCAGAAACATTCTTTACTCAGTCCTTTTTTTTTGAACAGTTTTACCCAACACACAGCTAGAATTAATCAAAGAGAACAAAAAGCTTTTATAAACAAAAATCACAACATCAGGCCACAAGGCAGGAAAAAGGCACAGAGACCTACACTTCATTATGTATTAGAGGAGAAAACTTTCCTTCTTAGATCAGCTTATCATTCCT